AAGAAGCCTGCTTTGGCATAATGACTTCTCCATGCTTCAGCACATGGCCTTGGCTTTAATAATCCATCATGCGATGATTTGCAGTGCACAAGGGTGGCATTTGGTTATGTGAAAAGGCATAGCAGGAAGAAGCATGTAGGTAGGCTCTTATAGGCTAGCTGCTGGAAAAACATGGCTAAATGCTATATGGTGAAAAGAACATTTAAGATGGTTTTTGAACTCACAAAGAAACAGTGCAAGGTATCATCTCTAGAGAAATTCTTATTCCTCTTTTTCTTTCCTGTTTTTTTCTTCCCCCAACCATGTTTTGGAGGGACAAATGGGCTAAGGGGCTAGATTTGGTTGCCAACACCCAAATACATTTTAAAATATATTTGATTCGGGAAGTCTGGATCTTTTAAAGGAAGGATGTTAACAATCCTCCTGGGAACCTTAAACTATGATGACTTAAACATAAAGAAAAGGAGACTTTAAAATGATCAGAGAAGTCACCCAGAGGCTTCCCTGCTGAGGAGTTTTCATCTTTTTAAAACTACAAGGAGAATGTTGGATTCACCACCTAAGGGAAGTCCTGTCATTTGAGTCAAAATTTATGAGACAATAGGAAAATTCATAAAACAAAAACAAGAGCACTGGAATTCTTAGATCCATGGTCTCTAGATATATTTTTATATGATAAATGCATTCCATTTTAGATATACTATAATGAGTGCATTTATTGACTGTGGACATAATTCGTTCCTGGGTACAAATACAGTAATAATTGGTTATTCATGGCCATGAGAGCCAAGTGAGATCAAAGTTATGCACAAATGAAATCCAGAGGGAATGAGGGGGTCCTAGATCAATTATTTCTCACTGATTCACTTCCAGTACTTTAGCCATAGATATGTACAAGATAATATTGATTTATTACAGGGTTACGAGCCTCTGTAGTCCTACATGAAAAGTTAAGTGGATACCTTTACATACTATTGATTACATAGAAGAGTAACAACACTAAGTTATTCTTGGGGTTTGTTATTCATTAATTTGAGTATTGATTAAACAAAATTTATTAGGTTGATCTTATGTGAAAATAGCAGTGCTTGAGATTATGAAGGTCTTGAGGATATGGGTCCCATTCCTGAGGCATCTATATTTTATTGCAGAGACAAAACACATGCATACATTACCTTAGCATAAGATGCTAATAGAAAAGCAAATAACTGCTTTGAGAAATCGGAAGAGGTAGACTGTTTCCAAGAGAAGATTCAGAGCGTAAGCATGGGCCTAGAAGGTGGGGATAGTCTGAGTATGGGGATGACTAGAAGACATGGGGTGTGGGAGAGTTGGGCCAAAGCATCCAGTATCAGATTCTAGGAGATACAGCTGGAAGGAGGAGAACTGAGGTCAGCTGAGTAGGCTATTGCTGTAGATTTATTGGATTTCAGTAAGATAACGGCAACCACTAGTTTTCTCCCCTAGTCAAAATTTTTATTTAGAAATGATTTAGAGAAAAGTTATAAAGATAATATAGTTTCCCACTAACCAGAAAGTGGTTCATGTTTCTGTGAGTTTTAAAATGTTTTAGTTTTATTCCTTTTAATGTGTGTGTGTGTGTGTGTGTGTGTGTGTGTGTGCATGTGAGTGTAGACAGCCTCAGAGGCCATAGACTTCAGATAACCTGGAGATGGAGTTATAGGTGGCTGTGAGCCATTTGATGAGGGTTCTGGGAATTTACATCTTTTATAATAGCAGTACATGCTCTTAATCATCTAGCCATTTCTACAGAACTCTTATGTTTTATAAAACATAATGATTTTTTAGTTTGTTTTTATTACACTCCTATAATTTGTATGTCTTGTCTCCCAAGTAAGGCACAGATCTTGTCAAATATTTATTTTGTTTTTATAATTATTTAGAAATTCCAACAATATCTTCTTTCTTATTTATCTTTTCTTTGTCTCCTCCTCGTCCTCCTCCTCCTCCTCCTTGTCCTCCTCTTCCTCCTCTTCTCCTCCTCCCTATAACTGCCCAAATTACTTATCTTTTCAAAGACATAGGTTTTGGTTTTCTTAACTAAATTTGCTAGATTTTGACCTATTTTAATGTCAGTAACCTTAAAATTTTACCAAAAGTTATCTATACACCCAATATATTCAATCTAATTTTAAAAAACAGTAAGGCTGCAGAGATGGCTCAGTAGTTAGAAGCATTGACTGTTCTAGAGGAATGGGGTTCAATTCCCAGAACCCATACGGCAGCTAACAACTGTCTGTAACTCCAAGATCTGACATCCTCACACAGACACACAAGCAGGCAAAACACCAATCTATATAAAAATAGGAATAAATAAATTATTAAAAAACAAAACAAACTAATGGATAAATGCAGTATTTTAAAAAAATCTCCAACTTACCTTTCAAGGAGAATGCCCCCTAGTCAATCATTCTGTCCACATTTTTTGGAGTCTCTTTTCCCGCCTCATCTTCCTTGGACAGTGGCTAAAGCTAAAATTGAGGTTTTACCCCAACTTCCCAACTCCCAGCCATCTTTAAGTCCATGTACATTCTCTGTTGATCACATTGTATATGCAGCTCTACCACAACAGATGTGCATGACTCATTTCACTTTCTGAAGCTCTTAACTTCATTTAGTTCGAAGATATCTTCATGCAACGACCAGAGAAGTCTTTCAGAAGCACATCTGAATATATCGTTCACATTCAGGGTTTTGATTTTATTTAGTATAGAATATGTATTCCTTTGCAAGGTGTGATGGCCAAGTGTCTAAATGCTATCTTGCACAAGTTCTTTCCACACTTATACTTTGATAATCCTGAAAATCCTTGAGGTTTCCTCTTTTGGTGTGCCTTTGTACATACCATTCCTTATACTGAAAACACTTTCTCTTTCTCATCTGAATAAGATACTTTCAACTGTATACCTCAGCTTTAATTTACATTCCCCAATAGCATACACAGCATCGATTTGTTAGTCTGTTTATTAAATTATGCCTTTCCTGGGCCAGTGAGATGGCTCAGCTTGTAAAGGTGCTTGCCACCAAGTCTGATGACTTGAGTTCGAGCCCCAGGACTCACACGATAGAAGTAGAAAACTGACTCCCACAAGCTGTTCTCTGCCCTTCACACAAGCACCATGGCATAGTGTGAACACACACATGTATGCATGCACATGTGCATGCACACACACAAATAAACGTAATGTTTTAAAAGCTTAAAAACATAATATTATCTCACTATACAAAGGATTAGAGATAGCACAAAGCAGATATACCAGGCAATAAGGTAAAATAGAGTGAAATATTAATTCAAAGGAAAAGTATAGGTAGAAATTAAAGTAACACCAGGTATGTATCTATCTTTACACTTTTAAAGCTATCTTGCTTTAAAAATATTGGGTTCTATACACCTGCACATGTAATATATATGCATATACATACATACATATATGCATATATATGTTTTAAACAGGGCTTCTTAGCAATCAAGCTCAGAAAGAAACTTGGCTGTGTTTGTTTTTCCATATGTCAGAAATAAAGCACCACTGTTTGTTTCCTGAATGAGGGATGATTTGTTGCATTAAAAAGACTGGTAATTTTAAAAGTTCTCTTGTTTGTTCTTGCAATGATTCTTAAATATAACTCCATAATTACTATAACTTTTTTACCTTGATTTCCTAAGAGTATGGACCATATCCTTAGATTGTTTGAAATTCCCTAGTGACTCACTGGATAACCAGATATTGGCTATAATATAGGCCAATACTTTGTACAGATACACAATTAGAAATATGTCTACATTGTAAATGGAGACTGATCATTTGTTCTCTGGCTGCCCAGACCCTAATAATCACACAGATACTATATATATATTACAACAATGTTTGGCCAATAGCTTAGGCATATTTCTAGATAGCTCTTATATCTTAAATTAACTCATTTATATTAATCTGAGTATCGCCACAAGGTTGTGGCTTACCAGGTAAGGTTCTGGGCATCTGTCTCCTTTGGCAGCTACATGGCATCTCTTTGACTCCGCCTACTCTCTTTTTTCCATCTTGGCTATATTCTGCCCTGCCATAGGCCAAATCAGCTTTATTCATCAACCAATAAAAGGCATATACAGAAGGGCATCCCACATCATCCATTTACACACAAGGAAGAAAAAGTATAACCAAATGGATGAGTATTGTAATAATGATATTTGGAAAGCCCATAATATAGCAGATATATCATGATAAACACATTGATAATGCACTTTCTATGACTTCTGGCTAATACTGTGGATATTTCCTATCTCAAAACTGGAAAATTAAAATGCAAAATGAGTTTTTCAAGGGATTACAAGTAGTCAGAGGCAGACCCTGGGATAAAGACTGGTACTTGATCCTAGCTCTTAACTTTCTTCTTTGGTGTGGAGTAGACTGATTACATAGATTTATGTATTTTACATAAATATTTATTTATTTAGCTTGAGACAGGGATTCATTATGTCGCCCTAGCTGGCCTAGAACTCTCTAGGTACGTCAGGCTGACCTTGAATTTGTAGAGATCCACTTGTACCTGTCTCCTGAGTCCTGGATTAAAGACACATGCTACAAGGATGACCAAATTGATTAATACTTAATTAGGGCAAAATCATGTCAGTGCAGCCTTTCACCTGATAGAAATGCCCTGGTGGAAGGCTTTGTCACTGTTTTCTGGTTCTATACATTTTATTCCAGAATTGTTCTGAAGGGAAAGGCAACAGTTATCTTGGAAATGAAATACTATACTACAAAAATTTGTTCTCCGTAGAAGTGTTGTGGCACATCCCAATATCAACCACTTTTTTTATTTTTTTAAATTGGGACATCTGACTGATTTTTCCAGTATACTTGGTAGGCTACGACTCAGCTTTATTCACTATATCCAAGAAAAGTCACAGCTACTTTGTGAGAAGGTAACTCCGCCCTAGCCCAGTTATCTTTTACTAACAAGGGTTTGGCTGTTCTTACCTGAAAGTTGCCAAAGCAGCTCCCTCCAGGAAGAGTCACATAACTCACAAAGGGAGGCCCAGAGGAGGGCATTGACTCATACACCACCAGGCCTTCACTGGAGAATGTGGTTCTCTGCTGCTGCTGCTTACTTTCCCAAAATTCCTGTAACATCGACACAACATTCACTGCAAAAGACAAGAAGTAGCATCAATTATGAGGGTGGACACTGGCAGAGGCCAAAAGACAAGAAGCAGCATCAGTTATGAGGGTGGACGCACACTGGCAGAGGTCAGATGCTTACGGCTGGATTTTGCGATGTGGTAGCTGCTATTTAAATGGGACATATGCACTATGAGGTTTGCGTTCAACTGTGACGACTCTTTAGTTAAGCATATGTAAAGGATGCTAAGATATGTAACTTTAAAACGTGTGTATTTCCTTTGTAAATTACATCTTTATTGTGTGTGTGTGTGTGTGTGTCAGAGAGAAAGAGAGTATGGGGGGGGCATGTACATGCGTTGGCACCTGTATAAAGGTCAGATGGCAACTTTGGGGAGTTGGCTTTCTCTTTCTATTATGTGGTTCCCCAGAATCAAATTCAGGTTGCCAGACCAAATGGCTGAGCCATCTGACTGGACTGTGTGTGCATTTCTTAATGAGTAGAACTCAAGTGGTTTTAGTACCCCAATTCTAACAAGGTTGCAGTATATCAAATTTATTTTATAAATGATATTAATATCAAAATTTAAAATCTGATAATTCGTCTCTGAAATTTTGCCTTAGTAGGCTTTTTCCAGATCTGATTATCTATAGCCCATATCCAATTTCTCAGACTCAAACCTGAAAAGAGAGAGCCACACTGTGAAGATGTAAGAAATGTAGTATTAATCTGAACTTACTATTCATATGACTTAAGAGAAATTCAGAAAGGAGAAAACTCTTTTATATTCCCTCTGCCCCAATCTAAAGTAGAATCAAAGGCAATTGTCAAATAAGCAAGAGAGTGGAAAAAGCCATGAGTGAAACTAATAACATGGAGTCTTGTAAAGCAGGGTCTGTTAGAAGATTTTGGAAAACACAAGAATGGTGAGGAGGGCCATGTGTTTTAGATTAAATGACCTGTGATAGCCTGCAGAGGTTCCAGATCAAATTAGGCTGGTTTGTTTATCCTGTACTGCAAATTGAATTGGGGAAATTAACAAGGATAATAGAATTGTGGAGTCAAAAGTGACCTTATGAGTCATGTTGGCTAAGCTCTCCCTGATGCAGGAATTCCTTGCCAGCGCTGCTGCCAGACAACTGTCAGTCTGGCCTGTACCTGCATTTGTCACAGTTGGCACAGCAGTTTCAGTCACTGGTGTTACTATGGAAAGGTGAGCTGGTGTTCTTTCCTCTAAGATTTATGCAAGGAGTCTACTGCATTTCTAGAGAGCTCACAGTGTGTTTGGAGGCAGCATTAGATAGATATCTGTCAGTTTTGCTTGTGGGGCATTTGCTCACTTTCATGTGTGACTAGGACAAAAGGTTCCCTTGAAGTATCATGTAGGCTTTACGGTTGGGACTGGGGATTTGGCCAAAGGTTATGCATTTAGAGGCAACAGTCCAAGATTTTTGGTGGAAATCTCCTTTTTCATGTGTGGTTTGGAGGAATATGTAAGCACAGCACTGCTCGATCAAGAAAGAAAGATGGCTTGAGAATTAAGTGAACACAGAGAAGGGTAGCAGAGGAGACAGAGAAGAAAAGACTAAATATTGCTGACGTAGGCTGTGCTCCTCAGTCCAGCGTTGCACAACCCAGGCTCTTTGCTTTGCAGTGAACTACCCAAAACAATCCATCTGCTTTTCCCTAAGTCCCTCGGAACTGCTCTTTGATACTTGCATCTTAAAGTGTAGCAATGCAGGGTCTGTGCATTAGCTCAGTAGCAGAATGCTTGCCTAGCAAGGTAAGGCCCTGGGGGTTTCTCCAGTATTGCAATACACTTTTGTGTGTTTCAAAATCCTGAACATTGACTTTTCCCTGGAAGTCAGGAGTGTCACAAAGTTTGGACTAACAGCAAAAGTACTGCACATCCACACCTCTAAGCTGTTTCCAAGACAATAAGGCTCTAACACCTTCTCCTTGGGGCTGTGATAAACTCATGATGTGTCAAGAATGTTCCTGAGTCTTCTAAGGAATTGGATACCTTTGCAGCTTAAAAAACTATTTTAGGATTCAAGTGTTCTGGGAAATATTAAAAAAAAGATAAGCTTAACACAGGAAAGGTAGATTAAGTGGAATATATGTACAAGTGATTAAATTGAAAACTGGTGAATATAGAACTTTTAGCTTGTTTACAAATTTAAAATATAGTTTTATACCAGTTGATAAAACTCAAAGTGGAAATTAGATATTTTGTATGTGTAATTGTTTCTGGCCCACATCCTTTTCTTCAATTCAAGTTCTGAGAAGACATAGACTTTTTTTAAAAAAAAAAAATAAAGAATCCAGTTTATGTCTCTACATGCAATTGACTGTCTAGATTCATCAAGAGAGATTCTGAAGCCTGAAGCCTGAATCCTGAAATGGAAACCAGTGAGTGGTCTTTTGCTCAACTAGTCAACAAAGATCACTATCTTCGAATTCTAAGTTCATCTCTGAATGAGATTGTTCTGACTGGAGCAGGAAACTGAAGACTCACGATTGTCTAGGTAGGACACACACAAGGGTTTTGGCCCACATAAATTATTTGCATTAAGAGTTCATAAGTATGGATTTAGATTTCTGAATGAATTAAAAAACCCAGCTTTTGAATTTTTCATTATGCAACCATAAAAGATCCCTTTGATGGTAGTAGAGATTTCATCACCCTGAAAAGTGCGGCATTGTGCATGAACACAGACAATGCACATGTCTATCCGTATCTCCTCTGTGACTGTAACTCAGGATGAATGGAGTGCAGCACGAAGGAGGCCAGTTTTGCTGTCTGCAACTCTAAAGGTTAGTTATAGAAGAGGGTGTTCTATTTATAGAAAACAGGCTCTTTTTTGTTTATGGAACATCAGCAAGATTTATAGGCTATTTCAAAGGAAATATGAGAAGAGGAAGAGGATTCATTAAATAGTTTAGTCTTTAGAAGTCTCAGTCCCAAATTCTGTGTACCCCATGTTACAAGTAAACTTGAGCTACCAAGTGTGTGATACTCATCTCTACGTCTAGGGACTCATCTGCATGTGTGTCCAGCTCTATAAGAAATAGTTCATGCTCTCTGTCTCTCTTGGATATTGTTTCTTAGTCATACTCTTGACCTATTTTTTAAATTCTTACTCTTTTCTTATTGTTTCTCAGCAGACAATAAATGAATAATAAAATAATTAATCAGTTAAATACCCCACTAAACCTTGGAACTATTTGTGGTGACTGGTTACTGAAATTTTCATGTTATAATCAGGCTGCTGGTAAGAATATCTTACGTTAACTGTCTCTGCTTAGTGCTCCTTTTGGTTTTTAGTCACCATAGCCTGGCTTCCTTCTACACCACTCCAGTGATACATTTTGACAAATATTGCCAACTCAGAATTTTCAGGCCTCATTTATTTGACTTCTTAGCTAATAATACATATTTCTGTCTTTATCAGTTCTTTTGGCTAGTGGTGGACAGTACACACAGTGTGAGTTATGTGTGTTTTACGCTCAGAATCAAGGTTGCAGTGCAGTCATGTGATACAACATAAACAATCAGGGCTCTGGGAACCTTGGATTAAGTATGCATTTGATTTTGAATTAACTTTTGGCCATTACATATTCAAAAACACTTTGCTGTTACCAATGGATTTTGCCACCCCCACATTCAGTCGACTTCACATGGGGTCCCCACAATTGAGAAATTGTGGTCTATGACACATTGTTTAAAGGTATACATTATTTCTCTCAAAGTTTAGTAAGGTTCCTTTTCCAGTCTCTATTTTCTCTCTATGGTATTTAGAGAAAAACGGTTTTATCAACAGCCAGGACAAGATTTACCTGGTAAATCTGAATACTAAATGGAAGGATGCTAATGACCCTTGGCTGGATACCTGGAGAAAGCACACAGGGACAGTTTGGCTGATGCTGCAGTCAGAGCAAGAAGATAAGCACTTAACTCATGCTAAGTGATGGGGCTGCAGTAGAGAGGTATGAGGTTCAATGGTTGCGGCAGCATTGTAAGAAAAAAATAGGACTATTGGGTGACCTTGGAAACTATATAAAACCGAATTCTGTTTCATGGTATTTATCATCTTAGAACACTGAAAATAGAGGAAGCAATTTACTTCTAATTTATGTTGTTTGTAAAACTTATTAACCCATTTTCCTGCCTTGGAGTGCTTCTTTGGATGCAGTGATAAATCTCCTCAAGATTTTGAATGTTTTGTATACAACAAGATAGTTTGCTACACAGTTTACTGTAGCTAATATAATTTCTCTTTAATATATTCTAAAATTTGATAATAACTGCATTTTGGGAGTAATAATTAGACTGCCCAGAAGTTCTTCTACATGGGAGGTTTTCATTTTCTCCTTCCTCAAGTTTTCCTTCTTTATTATAAAGTCCAGTTTGAAACATTCACAATTAACCAAAGAAGACATGAACAGTGTAAGACACCCTGACTATCTAAACTTTGACACTCGCCAGAAAAAAATCCTTCCTTGGCTTCAGCAAGAGCACTCTCTTTACTTGTCTTTGAACTCCTAAGACATATTTTTTTTCTCCTACCTTGGCTGTTTTCCCCACCCCCATACCTAATTTACCCCACATTTCAGATGAAACACTACCTCCTCCATCATGCCTTACTCATGGAGTGTAGCCTATATGCATCTCCCTTCCCAAGCTCTTATTCCATTAGTGGCCCTGTGTCTTAGCACTTAATCTCCTATAAACCATGCTCATAAAATGGATATGGTGCTCCTGGCTACATTTATCAAGTCTGACTTGGCTGGCCTTTCTTTTGGCTAGAAGAATGGAATGTTTTGTGGTAACAATTCATCTAATAAACTATAGTTTTCTGTGATTTAACTCACAGCAGACTATGGGATCCTGGAAGGAACATGCTCTGGTTCATTCTACTCTGTGCCCTCCCAAGTTTACAACGAGAAGATAAAATTATCCTCTTAGAAACAGTCATTGTTCATTCGGAACCTCAACAACACTTTGCATGGTCTGAACTTGAG